TCTTTTCTTCCTCTTTTGTCTTTGCAATGACCGTTTGCACTCTTCCTGGATGATACCCTTGATATCCTCCCACAACTCATCTGGCCTTCGCTCATTAGTGTTCAAAGCCTCAAACCTGTTCCTGAGATGGTTCTGAAATTCAGGTGGGATAGACTCAAAGTCATATTTTTGTAATAGCTAAACTAAATACACCTTTTTGAATTGCAGTTAGCCATCTACTTTCTTATTGAGATAATGGCTGTGTTTGGTCTTGCTCTTAAAATTAGTTCACATTCTTTTCCACCTATGTTTTATTGTTGTGTACTGTTGAGCTGGAACCGACCCATAGTTGTCCCTCCAGCAGGTTTTCAGAGGCAGTACATTGAATGAGAGGAGTGTAGCTTCTTACCACTAGGCCATCTGAGCTTGTTTATGTTTTAGCAATTGTATATTCTATTTTTCTTGACTCTTGCTGATCTTATATTAAACAATAAATTCTTACATTACTTAACAGCCTTTCCCCTCCCCTCCATTATAGCTCCAAATAGATTGGGAGAAAATCAAAGCCAAAATCGAGATGGAAATTACTAAAGAACGCGAGCAACCACCGAATAGCCAGCCCAACAAGGGCATTGGCATGAAGTCCTAATGCCCCGCTCAACATTGACACGTTGCCTCTTTTGGAATGAATCCGAATTAGACATGGAGAAGCATGTTTTGGTAGCAAAAGACGTAATTCCACCCTTTATATTTTCCTAGTTCTGTGATTAGCTAAGTATTTTTTAAGACATAAGACATATTTGTAATGCTACATTCCAAATTTTTGGTCCATTATTTTATCCTTGAATCTTCAGTATAATGAACTATTAATATTGGCAATAAATCATTAATATCTTGAAAAAGTATGTTACAATTAACTTCTGTTCAATATATGAATTGTGAAGCATTCCAAAAGTTTATTGTAAAAAATTATACATGATGGACTTGTGAAAATGTATAATAGTTAGAAAAGTTGTTCCAATTTCTTTTTTAACCTAAAGTAACTCCTAATGCAATCTCATAATCTTAAACTGGTGACCAAAGCTTGGGATGCCCAAATTTTACTATTTTGGGATAATTATATCATAAATGCATGACACCTGTAATCAGATATTGTTTTCACAGTTATGTCAATGCAAAGAGTAAATGTTTGCAGTCTATCACCAAGTCAAGTAAGATAAATTCAATTGTCACTTTTAATAGTATTTAAAAGATAAGAAACATGTCCCTTTCTCCATCAGATTGAATGTTTGTATATGTGCTTTTGTCTCATAATTGTAAATATATCTTTTTAACACTGATAATTTTATACATGTTATCAGGGTTTGAATATTTTAATGCCTTTGTATGTATTACAAGTATTTTGTTTATTTTGTAAACATACCCAGTTCATCCATAATGGCCAGGGCATGATCCTGTTATAAAGTAATGGTATTTCTCAAATGTGGTAATCCTCCATCACCTCAAAAGAAAAATGCTTTGGCACAGACAATATGGGGTGCAATATGGAACATAAAGTATATTATGAAATAACCATGTTTTAAAGCAAATGTTTTAGAAAATGGTTTTAGCAAAAAGATGAGTATCAATTAAATATTACCTTCAATTATCTGTCATTTTGTAAATACAGACAATATATACCTTTCTGAAAATGAAAAATGTTAGCTTAAAGTACATAAATTTCTCAAAACATTTTCCTTCTTTGTATATAGTACCAAGATCAGAATTTATGATGTACATATCATTTTCTTTAAAATGGCAACAAAAATGTCACATACAATAATAAAAACATGTGGATTTGTGTTATTTACTAAGAGATTCCTACAGAATTACATAATTTCTGACTAAGTCATTTTTTCATCTGCTTACATTACTCTAAAGCTACCATGGTGGCCCCTTGAATACCTGGACACATTGTCAATTTGAAACACAGTGGATAATGTGACCATTATGCCCTCAACACTGTTTGCTTTTTAGTTTTATTTTTATTTTTTAAAATATGTACCATGGACTGTTAGGAGAGCAAACAGGTTCCTTGAAGGCAATAATTCTTTTATTTTATTTTATTTTAATGAAAATTACTACGCTGTTTTGGTGGTCAAGACAGCATGGTACTGGTATAATGACAGATACATAGATCAGTGGAATAGAATTGATAACCCAGAAATCAGCCCATCTACCTGTGGTCAACTGATTTTTTTTACAAGAAGGTGAAATAAGTGGGGAAACGACAGCCTTTTTAACAAATGTTGTTGTTGTTGTTTAATGCCGTCGAGTCGTAGACGACTCATAGCGACCCTATGAATGAACGGCCTGAGCACTGTTCGTACATAGAGTTTCCAGAGGCAAGCCATTTTGGAAGTGGATGCCGCTCCTGCTTCCAAGGCTTGATTTAGTCGGGAAGCTCCAGCCAACACTGTCCACCATGGGTGCCCATTACCACAATTAACAAATAGTGTTGGCAAAATTAGAAAACTCAATCAAGATCCACACCTCATTCCATACACAAAAACCAACTCTAGGTGGATCATGGACCTAGGACTAAATCCAAGGACTATAAATAAACTTCATTAGAGAAAAAAGTTAGAAGAACTCTAGAAGCCCTACTCCACAACATGAACAGTCTTCCAAGCATCCTGAAAAACCTACAACCAGGAAAGGATAAAATAGATGAATGAAGGCAGGGATTCTGACAGCTCCATCTCACATACTGTGGGCATACTGCAACAAGTGACCAGTCCTTGGAGAGGGTAATTATGCTTGGGAGGGTGGAGGGACAGTGCAAGAGAAGAAGACCCTGGACGAGATAGATTGATTCAGTGACTAGGGTAATGAGGGTGGATGTGTCAGAGATGATGAGGTTGGCACAGGACAGAGCTGCTACACATGGGGTCACTATGAGTCAAAGCAACTTGACGACCTTTAACAACTAATTTCTAAAAAATTAAATTTTTCTAATGCTTCCCAACACTCTCTTCTTCTCTAATAATGTTACATTGTAAATCAATTTAGTATCCATTTTTTAAATTGGAATCATACATTTATTTGTCTGACTCATCAGAGCCCTCCATCGGATCTCTGAGGCTCTAAGTTTTAATGGAGACTTCCTGCCTTTCTCACATATTTGTAAATAAATGTAACATTCTTTTTCTATTAAAGTGAGGATAGAGTGGCTCTAATTGTATCTCTATCTGTGGCAAATTATCACCCAAATAGTTTACAATTAGTTTCTTTAGTCCTTCTAGCTCTTAGTCCCATGCACCCGTCTTCTGCTCCTCTGTGCTGAGGTAGCCACACTCAAGCCTTTCCACTTTGATTTATTCTTACTCCTTCCTTGTCTGCCTCAGCTCCATTTTTCATTTCCTACTCAGTCTTGCCTGCCCCACAGTACATCACTGGAGCCAAATCTGTTACAAATTTCGTTTTTTGAAAGTAAATTACTTTTTGCTTTCACAAAAATGCTTTTTATTTCCCAATGCACATCCAAAAGCTTCTTCAGCAGGATAAAAAGGGAAGCCACAGACTGGGAAAAAATATTTGGTAATGACATGTCCGAAAAGGGACTTATATCTAGAATTGATAGACTACTCGAGTGCCACAACAAGATAAAGATAAACATCCCAATTGCAAAATGGACACAGGATATGAACAGACACTTCACCAAAGAAGACATTCAGATGGCTAAAAAGCACATGAAGAAGTGTTCAAAATCTCTAGCTCTAAGAGAGATGCAAATCAAAACAACTATGAGATATCATCTCACGCCAGTAAGAACAGCAAAATTCAACAAAGCAGCAAACAACAAATGCTGGCTAGGTTGTGGAGAAACTGGAACCCTTATTCAGTGTTGGTGGGAGTGTAAAATGGTGCAACCACTATGGAAAGCAGTATGGCACTTTCTCAAAAAGTTGGGAATAGAAATACCATTTGACCCAGCAATTCCACTACTGGGAACATACCTCCCAAGCAGGTATATGCACACCCATGTTTATTGCTGCATTGTTCACAATAGCAAAGAGATGGAAACACCCCAGGTGCCCATCATCAACAAATGAGTAGATAGAGAAGCGCTGGTATAGTCACACAATGGAATATTATGCAGCACTAAAAAACAACTCATGAACTATGATATAAAATGGATGACCATGGAGGACATTATGCTGAGTGAAATACCTCAGTCACAAAAAGACAAATACTGCATAATACCACTGTTAAAAAACAGGACTAAATCCACCAGATGCTCTGCTGGAGAAAGAGGGACAATCTCCTCCTGTACCAGTCAGATCTGATTAGACTGTACATGAACAAAAAAGAATAAAATTTAAAAAAACACAGGACTGACATGGGGGTTGGGGGAAGCTAAGAAAAGAGGGGATAAATAATGTATGTACATGTCATTGAAACAAAAGAGGGAGAGAACTGTATAAAAGGAATATATAATTAGGTATTACTGGCATGAAAAGGGTCCAGAATAAGAGCTGCACAGTAAATTGGTCTGGGGGTAGGGGCTGTATAACAAGGAAAGAACTTTTTTCCCTCAGAAAAATGCAAACTAGGAGGGAGGGGAGCAGGGAGCAAAATGTGCAACAATGGATAAATGGAAATCCACGTTCTTTATAAACTTTCATAAAAAGGGAAGAATGTTTTTATTTATCTCAGCTCAAATCATTACTACTGACCCTGATTAATTAACTTTTAAGTCCCACATATATATCTGAACTTCACAAGAAGGATCCATTGTTAATTAGTATATGTTAACTGACACTAAAATACATTTTTATGTCTAGGCACCGTGTTAAAGGCTTCCTTTGGAACTCTGGTAGCTTAGTGGTAAGAAGCTGTGCTGCCCTCCTAAAGGCACATGGTTCGACTCCACTAGCTGCTCCATAGGAGAAAGTCAGGCAACCTCTTCTGGGATTTATTGCATCTGAAAACCCGCTGGAGAGTCAGCTTTCTGTCAGTCCCCACAACAACACATGCATTATTGTAGGGCAATGGATTGCTTAATCAGGCTTCTCTAGTCAGTTGTTTTTGTAATTGTCAACAAATGACTGGGTAAACTATGCAATGTGAGGTGCTTGTGACCAGAGGAAATGGGTAACTTGCTAATAATGTAAATATAGCACCTTTTGAGCTGTTGTTATTGTTAGGTGCTTTCAAGTGGACTAAGACTCATAGCAACTCTGTGAACATAGCCTGAAACCTTGCCCGGTTCTGCACCTCTCCAGGTTTCAGCCCATTATTACTCAGTGCAGCTCATTGAAGGTCTTCCCTCTTTTGCTGACCCTCTACTTTCCCAGTTATAATGTCTTTTCTCAGGACTGGCACCTCCTGACAACATGCTCGAAAGTATAACTGACCCTCTTTGCCTTTAAGGTGCACCCTAGTAGAACTTCCTCTAAGATAGATTTGTTTGTTCTTCTGGCCTTTAAGTTGAATTTCAACTCAGGAACTCTCTGTTGGGTTTCTGAGGCTATAATTTGAAAGGGAGGAGACTGCCCATCTTTGTCTCTCAGAATGGCTGGTGGATTCAGACTACCAGATATGCATGGCCTTTGGGTCAGACGCAGGACGGGACCCTACGTACTATGCTACCAGAGCTCTCGCCTTGTGAGTTGTTGTTATGTGCTGTCAAGTTGCTTGTGACTCAGAGCAACCCTGTGTACAGCAGCTCTGAACCCTGCTC